ACCCGAATAAGGGCATTTTGGGCTGAATTGGGCTTTTAAATGTTCTAGGTAAAAATTTTAGTTTACCTAACAATTTTTCTTGTCTAAATGTCCTCTTATACTTATTAGGGTGTACTTAAACTATTAATTATGGAATTGAAGGATTGGAACTCAAATCCTCATAGTTTAGGGTTTAGGCCGAATAGATCCTTAAAGTGGTCAAAGATTACTTTTTCATCCCAACCTACTAATGTATACCTAATTGAGATGTAATTGAGTCCTATGCTCTTAATTATAGGGTTTCGAGTATACTCATACCCCTTATCATCATGTTTCCCTTTGTTAGAATTAAAGACCGACGAATGGTATTGATTTGGTCTTGGGTCTAATTGTGTATGTGGGTACTTTTCTTTTGTTTCCTATCATAATTCTAATCATTAATTTGTTCCACCATGACTTGAATAATTATTATCATTTGAACCCATTTTCACTCATTTTCACTCATTTTAAGGTATAATTTTTTATTTTTATTTTATATTTATTTGAGCCTAATTGATTGTTAATTACGTTATCTTGGTGAAAAGGAATGAAAATCAAGCAAGTATGAAGTAAAAATGGTGAACTTCGAGTGATCGGTGACTTACATGGGCAAAGACACCCCCGTATGGGAGGCCATGTAACTATCTAACTAAAGAAAAACACCCTTCTTCATTACACGGGCAAGGACATACCCGTGTGAGAGGCCGTGTAACTCTTTAACTTTAAAAAAAATATATTTCTTCATTACGTGGGAAAGACAAGTCCGTGTGGGAGGTCTGTTTAACTCTTTGACTTCAAAAAAATATATTTCTTCATTACACGGGCAAAGACATACCCATGTGAGAGGTCATGTAACTCACCGACTTCAAGAAAAATATATTTCTTTATTACACGGGCAAAGACACACATGTGTGGGAGGCCGTGTAACACTCGAGTCGAAAGTTTGCTAAACAAAAATCCTAAAATTTCATTTTTCTTCCTCCCTATTTTCCCTTGTCTAAGTCCATATCAATCCTAAATTCACTCATCATGTTTTGGTCAATCAAATCCATTAGCCACACCTATCCATACATGGATCTAACTAGATACAAAACTTCTAAAACTTAACAATAAATCAAACAACTAACCATTAAAATCAGATCATAATAATTACCAATCATAAAATAACCTAACCAACAAAATTAAGCCAACAAACATATCACAACATAAGCACAAACTTAACCAATTACAATAACATCAATTGCATGGCACAAAGCACAAACTCCTTATTTTTCTTTCTTTCTTTTTTTTCTTTTTCTCTCCTTCTTATGGTTTTCTCTCTTTTCTTTCTTGGTGCTCAATGATTTTTGGTTGAAATTTTCAGCCATTTAACCCTTTTTGTCCCTTATATACTTCCCCTTTTCTTCCCTTTTTATAATTACCTTAATGCAATTGATATTATTGTAATTGGTTAAGTTTATGCTTATGTTATGATATGTTTGTTGGCTTGATTTTGTTAGTTAGGTTATTTTATGATTGGTAATTATTATGATCCGATTATAATGGTTAGTTGTGTGATTAATTGTTAAGTTTTAAAAGTTTTGTATCTAATTAGATCTATGTATGGATATGTATGACTAATGGATTTGGTTGACCCAAACATGGTGAGTGAATTTGGGATTGATATAGACTTAGATAAGGAAAAATATGGAGGAAGAAAAATGAAATTTTAAGGTTTTCTTAAGCAAACTTTCCACTGGAGTGTTACACGACCTCCTACATGGGCGTGTCTTTACCCGTGTAATGAAGAAATATATTTTTCTTGAAGTCGAGAGTTATATGGCCTCCCACACGGACGTGTCTTTTTCCGTGTAATGAAGAAATGTATTTTTCTTAAAGTCGGAGAGTTACACGACCTCTCACACGAGCGTGTCCTTACTCGTGTAATGAAAAAGAGTGTTTTTCTTTAGTTAGATAGTTACATGGCCTTCCAAATGGGTGTGTCTTTGCCCGTGTAAGTTACTTGGTCACTCAAAGTTCATCACTTTTATTTCATATTTGCTTGGTTTCCGTTCTTTTTCATCAAGATAACGTAATTAATGGTCAATTAGGCTCAAATGGATATAAAATAAAAATAGAAAAAATATACCTTAAAATGAGTAAAAATGGGTTCAAATGCTAATAATTATTCAATTCATAATGGAATGAATTAATGATTAGAATTGATAAAAAATAAAAAAAAGTACTCATATACACAATTAGACCCACGACTAAATCAATACCATTCGTCGGTCTTTAATTCTAACAAAGGAAAACATGATGATAAGGGGTATGAGTATGTCCGAAACCCTATAGTTAAGGGCATAGGACTCAATTACAACTCAATTAGGTATACATTAGTAAATTGGGATGAAAAAGTAATCTTTGACCACTTTAAGGATCTATTCGACCTAAACCCTAAACCGTGGGGATTTGGGTTTCAATCCTTCAATTTCATAATTAATAGTTTAAGTACACCCTAATAAGTATAAGAGGAAATTTAGATAAGAAAAATTGTTAGGTAAACCAAAATTTTTACCTAGAACATTTAAAAGCCCAATTCAACCCAAAATGCCCCAATTCGGGTTCGAAGAAGAAATGTCACTCTAGTATGTTTTAAACTCGGTTTAAAATGTTACTAATTACATACGTCAAGTGAAGGATGAATTGTACGATAAGACTTACTAAATTTACGAAAGGAAAGTGCCCACATGCAACATAAAGTTCATGACTTGACTAATACTAGTCAACGGTAATTGATTTTTCATGGGGGAAATATTATGGAAGTGATATGGGAATATATCAAAAACCTTATGTAACATCCCCAACATAGGACCTAATAAGTTGAGAATATTACCGCCGTTAGCAACATTCGAAGTGCAATGAATGTCGGCTAACAAGACACTATGATCTTGTTGTAACGTATGTAAGAATATTTACGTGGTAAAAATCTTTTAATGACGTTCGGGTCCTATTTCTTACTTCAACTTCGCTATAAATTTTTTTCACGTTTATGTCGCATTTATTTATCATGATATTTTATTTTAATTTATTTCATTTTACATGTTTGTTAAACTTCTAATTATGTCAATATGCAGTGGATAATTTAAAGTAATTATATTACTACTACGATATTATTATTTTATTATTACCGATTCGATTACACACCTTAACTATTTACATATATGGTCGATTCTATGTCAATTACTTTGTGTAATAGGTATACCCGAAGCCAATCCTCATCAAAGCTACATGCGTCCGATGCCCCCTCTATAGTTAACTTCACGGAGAAGTGAGCCGTAATTTCTTATTTATCTATACCACAAGGAACTGTATGAACTACGGCCCAATAAGTTAACGTATGCATGTATTATACGTACATGTGTATGTATACATAAAACACTAATATGCATAATTAATCCCTTTTCCTTATATCATAAAACATTTCATAAACGATCGAAAATCCTTTTTTTATCTTTGGACATGTCCCATTTAGGTACTTCGGGGTTTCCATCACATATGTCTAGCGAACCGGACGCGTCTACGGATGTGCACTATCGAGCCTCTAAAAGTGTACAATTGCACTTGCCCGACCCCGAACCATTACCATCATTGTATAGAAAACCAATAAAGTCCTTTCTTCGAAACCTCAAAGTCATGGAGATCTTTTCCTTTAAAATCATTTCGATTGCTATCGGATAACAATGGCATACAATATATTTTTATGACTTAAAACATTATTCATGAGCTAAACATGCGTATGCAATTTGCAATGAATCAGCAAGCTATATGAATTCATGAATGCTTACTTAGAATGGTTATGTAACCAAGTCATAAGAATCGATATAAAATTGGACAACATAATAGTATAGATAACATCAATGTAATATAAACCAACATAGCCATTATTGGCACATCAATCATCATAACCCAATTCTCATCATCAATCACATTCAAGCATGATCATTATTCATAAGCTAATGCATTCATATAGCATTTAAAAGAACATAACCATAACATAAAGAAAGATTAACATTTTTGTTCTATTTCTTTGTTCATTAAACTGACCTTTCACTTTACTTTCATAAATTCCTTTGCTTAGGTTCTTAATTATTTTTCCATATTTGTTCTTTACCAAATTAAGTATTACTTCATGTTCCAACCTAACTAGGTATTATTTCATTGATTTAGGAGGTTCAATTTTGGTTTGTGCCTTAATAGGCCTAAGGCCCAATTTTTCCTAACCCAACTTTTCTTTAAATTTCTATGAGCCCTTTTCATTATAAACCATCATTTTACTATGTTTTAAGTCTGAATCATCAAATTTAAGGTTTAAAACTTGGTTTAAACCTAATTTTCTAAAATTCCCATTTAGGCCTAAACTTGACCTCTTTAGAATTCTAACATTTTCTCCTCATTTTGTCCCACCATTTTAAAACTAAGTAGTCCGGATATGTAAAAACTATAAAAATTAATTTAATTAAAATTTGGGGCTCGAAATCCTGTCTAAACCCGTATTGGGCCTTAATGGGTTGAAATTGAGCCCAAGCTCATATAACCTATTTTCTTTAATTTTTAGCAAAATTTTCATTTCTACTCATCAAAAATTCTTATTCAAGTGTGAATAACCCATCAAACCAGAATCAAATTGCTTTGAACTTAAACCCCGATTTACTTAGTTTAGGCCAAATATAATTCCTAAAAATTAGTGGATTTTTCTTCAATTAAAGTGTAATTTTTCATTCTTAAACATTAATTCATGCTCAAATAAGTTAGAATCAAGTTCCAAAACACCAATTAAATGAAAGAATTCAAAACCCCCAAATTTGATTCATCAAGAACCCTAACCCTAATTTTTTCTTAATTGAGCAATTAGGTCAAATCAAGCAATTGAATATAAAATTGACTTGAAATTAATCATAATTGTGGTGTAGGTGAGGTTAAATTACTTGTTTGAGCTCCAATTAGACTCTAAAAAGGTAGATTGGTGAAGGATTTCTCTTCCTCCTCTTTTCCTCTAAATTTTTGAATTTGATCTTTGAATTTTTCCCTTGCGATTTTTGACTTCCCACTTAAAATTCAAGCTTTTCCCATTGATTAGAGGTGGATATAATTTATTAAAAATTTTTTGGGTGATTTTTAAAGGAAAATTTTGTAAGAGTTTCTTTTGTACTTTTCAATTTTTCCTCCCCTTTTTATTCTTCCAGCACCCCTATTTATATGAAATTTTGTGGACTTATTTACCTCATCTTTACCCTTTATGTGGGAAAATATCATCCCTTAATTCAATTTCTAATCATTCATTTGCATTTGTCCCAATTTTTAGCTATTTATTCACCTTTTTATTTAAACCTTCTACCTTAATTTTTTTTGGCCATAAGTTTTACTGGAAGTCAGAATTAATTAATTCTCTAGGTTGGCCAAAGTTGGGTGGAAAATGATAAATTTTGGTCCTCCAAGGTTCTAGACTTTTTCATAGCCTATTCTTTCATAAGTCCCTCTTTTATGCAAAAAAATCACTTATACTCCCTCCTTTTTAGTGTCTAGGAATAATTTTTAACCCTTAAAATTCTCACATAATTTAATTTGGATTATTAGACTTTTAATTTTATGCAATCGAGTCCCTAATTTTATGTAATTTAGTCCCTACTTTTAAAATTCCATTCTATAATTTTCAAAAATCAATTTTCTTTCTAGAATAAATTCAAAAATTCATTAAGGGATTTTGATTTAAATTTTCATAATTTTTTCCCTAATTTGAGCCTTCAATTTATTTATTTAGTGTGAAAATTACACTATTTCCTATAAAAAATATTCCCTATACTTACTAAAATTAATTTAAATTTTCTTGGCACTCTCACACATCCTATATGATTATTCTATGCTCTTAAAAAAATTTCTCATAGTCTTAAGGTGCCTAATTAAATTCTTTACCTCTAAAATTACTATTCCTACACTTAGAAAATTCAATGAAATATTCATCATATGTAGAAAAATTCATAAAATCATATAAAATAATCTAACACCCTTCTAACAATTATTCTAAAAAAAATCACTAAAATATTTTTCATACACAAACAACATGCTGTAATTAATTTTCTCATGCAATAACTACTATTCATGTATCGAAAAATTACTAAAATATTCTTTAAGCATGGAAAACTATTTTGACCCTTCTAAAATATTATGTTAAGTTTCTAGTAATTATTTCTCATTTTCATCTCGGATATATATATATATATATATATATATATATATATATATATATATATATATTTATTTATTTTTCACACGATTTTACAAGTAAACTTTTATTACATTACTATTTTAGCGGTTACCAAGCATTACACCCTGTGTGTGTTGGATCTTGAGAATGATTTGATAGTCTAGGGTCCGGCACCCATAGGGTGTTTAATAGGGTAAATGTAATATCACGTGCATAATATGTATTCGAAAATGGATTGAGCCGAGTAAATGATTGTTGAGGTTATTCGACGAGTAAATAATGATCGAGGTTATTCGACAATAAATGATTGCTGAGGTTATTCGACGAGTAAATGATGGTCGAGGTTATTCGATAATAAATGATTGCTGAGGTTATTCGACTTCACCGAAATAGAGTAAACTTACTAATGCCCGGGGTACCTTTAACATTTCAAATCGATGAGTATATGGGGAAAACTTAAAAAAACATTGTATAACACGTGCAACACCTTACTTACCGAGCTTCGACTTACCCTGTTTGTTGTTACATGCCATGATAGGTAAAAGCGACGATAGTACTAGTAAGGATGTCGTCGGTTCCTCCAAAAGGCTCTGCGTGACACAAGTGTAACGAAGTTTATTTTGTTTGTTGTTTTGGATTGGGATGTTGGTAGATATTTTAATGGCTCTGTATGCGTTGTTTTTGTAATTCCTTCCATTTTAATGACTCATGTTATGTAATTTTTCATATACACATCCCAACATGTAGCTGTATTTGCGACGGTTATGTAACGTTTCTTTTTACGCATTTCTATATTTCCCATATAGTAAGTTTTGAGCAAGTACATGCAAGAGTTAAGTCGGGATTAGATTGTATCGGCGTGACGCGCCTTGACCGACCACGCCTATTTGGGTAATAGAGGGTGGACTAGAGCGGGGGCGTCATGCTTACTATTATTGCCTGCGATTGCTATCTATAAACTATAATCTATTGTGTTTCAAATGTTGAAATAATTTGAGAGATAATGTTGAAAATTTACAAGAGTATTGTAGTTACATGTATTTGTTATGTGTTTTGCTTGGTTGTAGCTAGTATTTATAACCTTCACATTCTTTTAGTATTTTCGACTCATTCGTTGCAACATTTCCATGTCGCTCTTATTTACGGTTTATGCGCTAGTCATTTGAGTCACTTACTTATCCACTTGTATTATTTTTACTCTTTTTTTTTTTTCGGAATAGGACTTGAATTCTCTCTGTTTTTTTTTGGTCCATGATACAATTTTGTTTGAAATTGTATTAAGTCTTCATGTCTTTCAGGTATAGCATTTTGTTGGGGTTTGGTTTTTATGGATGGGCTTGTTTTGGGAACTTAGTATCAAGCGTGTAAATCGCCTTTAATAGCCCATGATGTGGACTTTATAACCAAAGTTTCATTGGACTTCTTTTAATTTGTTGTGCTGCCAGATCCAATTAAATTTGAGTATAACATCATTAGAATCTCTCTTTCAACTTCATATTCCTTCGTATAACTCTGCTATTATTTAGTCTGAAATCCGTTAAACCTTCGTTGAAAAAAAAAAAAAAACTTTTTTCCTCCGATGGCTCGTACGTTCGAGGACCTAACATCTTGCCCAAATACGAGATGGCATTATCCACCAATTTCGTATACTTTCTTGTTGCACAATGATACTGACGTAGAGTATAAGATCTAGTGAAAGCTACGCCAACAATAACTTTGTTACCAAATTCACTTGAATCATCTTACTACAAACAAATAAATTCAAAAACCATGAAGCTTCAAATATATATATATATATATATATATATATATATATATATATATATATATTCCAATTTGATTTTGGTATGTTGTGGCAACCCAATATAATTGGGTGAGGGAAACACATGTCAACCAATTTGTTTTGATGTTCGGCTTCGGCTTCGGCTTCGGCCTAATTTCTCGACAAAGAAATGAACTCTTGAAGACGAAGTCATTTGAGAGGTCAACATGGGACGGGTATTTGCTGCACCTAGCAAAATTGATCATTATGGAATATCCACCCTTTTAGTGCTAGACTAGACGATGGATTGCTCCTCGTGTGTTTCAATGATTCAAATTTAGTAATAGATATGAGAAAACTAAAAAATCCTAATGATTGCTCTTGGGTTTGAAAGAAAATCATCAAGTACAAAGATCTATAGCCAGGACTCTTTAGAGTTTTCAGTTGGTAATGGGAGAAATACTTACCTATGGTGGGATTGTTAGCTTCCTCATGGACCTCTTCTTACGAGTTCTGGCATGACTACCGTTCGCTATTCTCAATAAGTTCTACACCATCTCTTTGTACTAAGATTAACAGGTGTCCTACAATTTATGGAGGGTCGAAAGAAAGAAATATAAGGCTTCGTGATAATTATCGTCATTATGCTGAGGTTGTATAACTGGTGAAAGCAGAATGTATGAATTAAAGTTAGTTTAAAAGGATGTTTGTAACCCTTCTTCGTTGTTTTTCGGGCGCTCCGTTCAATTATTTTTTTTAACAAGTGAGAGACAAAGCTCTGAAAAGAAACGTATTGAGAATAAAATTTAAAAGTTACAACTCTCTCTCTCTCTCTCTACATATATATATATATATATATATATATCTTCAAATAAGGGATTTACACATCTTCAAAAAAACATTGACATATGGTAAGTGACTTTTAATAGGAGAGAATACGCATAAAAAGCAAGCTAATTTGTTAGTTTCTCAAAAAATATAAAAGATACGAAGATTTCACAATTTCATAAGGAGATGGCAGATGGTAGATACTATTTGTAGTGATTTAGTTTCTCAAAAAATATAAGAGATATGAAGATTTCACAATTTCAGAAGGAGACGAAGGATGGTAGATACTAGTTGGCTATAATGATATTGGTGATCAATAATTGAAATAGCCCTTTTTGAATCAACTTAAAGTAGAACCTATCTATAACCGGCGTTTCAATGCCATCTCTAATCCAATAAAAACGCCCTATAGTTCACTATACAATACTGAGCAAATTTCGATATCATAAAAGAAGTTATGAAGCCAAATATCTGAATTATTGCATCAAACACCACCATTTGTGGACATGTCGAAAGAATTACGGCAAGTGCCATCAGTATTTAATTTAACCCTGCAACTAATGAGCTTTTGCCATCCATTAATTGGTACTATATGCTTGACAGAAATTAGCCTTTCAAGAGACTAAAAGCAATTTGAGCAGGGAATGAATAAATTCCACAGATATCTCTTAAACTGTTATCCATTTTGATTTGTACTTCTTGTATTTTATTTTTCTTTTGATTTTAATAATTAAATTATAAAATGTTTAGATTGGAACTCCTTTTATTAGGATCATATCACTTAGGTGATGAGACTACTATGAAAAGAAAGATTTAATGCCACAAATTCACCATTCAGATCTTGGATTCCACAACAATTTGGATGTTTTAAGAGTTGAAAATTTTGAATCTAATAACTAAAACTCAAAATTTAATGTTAGATTTGAGTTTTAAAATGATTTTTTTATTTCAAAATGTTGTTTGTAAGGTTAAAAGAATTGTTTTAGTAGTCTTTTTAAATAATTTGTAGCCGAAATTTTGGGTAAAGTTTCGATGATAAATATTGATAGAAAGGCTCCTAATCCAAAAATTTAATAGTTTTGTATACTAAAATAATAATAATAAAAAATGATATAAGATGTAAATCAAAACGCTCTATAATTCTTGGAATCTGTGTAATTTTAAGTCATAATTTTCTTAAGTTGTTCTTTAGCCAGTCTTTCACTTTTTTATAAAAAAATTTGTCAAAGGAATTTGCACATAATTATTCATTCATATGTTTTCATAATTTAGCTAATTATGTAAAACAATAAAATATGGATTATTTCAATTGTAAAATAAAATAGAAAACCCTACCGAATAAAATTAAGCACATAAGCCACAACCTTGGGATGTAAAGTATCTATAGATGATTGGGTTAAAAAAAAAAAAAAACTTTGTAACCAATTTATTTTTTAATGGTAGTTCTTCTTCTTATATTTACCAAATCCTTTTTAATTAAATAGTTTTTTTTTTTTTAATTGAAGTTGTATATTCTGGATCGCTGTATATTCACATACTAAATCAATTATGTGGTACGATAACTCATGATTTCAAAGACGGAAAGTGAGAGAAGAGCGACTCGCCGGAGAAAGAAGAAGAAAAAGCAGCTGAGGTAGCTAATGTTTGTAGAGAAGATAGACATGTAATGCGAATGCTTGAAGCAAGCATTATATGTTTATTGGGTCCGTACAATATTATTAGGCCCATTTTCTTTAGCCCATGGTTTTTACTATATTACAGCCCACACTTACGTTTCCAGCTTAGCCCAATCACATGTACTGTATAATACTCAATCTATAGATATATTTTTTTCTTTAAGGGAGAGCAAGAGTTCTAATAAAAGTTCTGAGTTGAATGTTACATTACTTCTCACATCTGAATGAAATAACCGAAAAAAAAAAAAAAAATTTAGGTCATATTATTGCATAAATCGCATATAATATTAACACTGACAATTATTATTTTGTTTTATTATACAATTTTTTTTCAATTTGTGTTAACCAAGGGAACCCGTAGATAATTGTCTAATTAAATTATTAATATGGATCAAATATTAAACATGAGTTATCAATAAGTTATTAACTTAGTGATAAACGAGTTGGTTTTTAAGTAAATTTTTTACTAATGTATAGAGTTCAATTCTAGAATCCCACTTGTTAAAAGAAATTAAACTCCATCTCAAATATAATTAGTTCTATATGTGGGATGAAAATATTTAAATAAAACAATAGATATTAAACATGAGTTAAAATAAAATAAAACTATTAATTACCACAAATTCATCGTTACATAATTTCAAATCCTATATCGTGAAGTGAACGCCATAAGTTCCTAGTAATTATGGTATATCTTAACGGTTTTATAGGGATGTTCTAGAATTGATTGATTCCTACACATGTTGGTGGATGGTGAGTTTCATGGGCTTGTTTTCTAGATCACGAGTTATAAAGGTATTTTAGGTATAAGAGGGAATTTAGGTAATATTTTGTTAGACATAAAACGAGGTCCCTTTCAAAATTTTAAATTTTTAGATAGTACAAGTTAGATACTTATGCTACACTATGGTCAAAGAATCACTATATATGTAGGGTTTACGATTCGTATGATGTAATGCGAATAAAAGCTTTATTTTTTATGATTAATGTAAATCGAATCTATATACTAAGCGAAATTATTTGATTTATATATATTTATCAACAAAATATTTAATAATATTAGTATAAAAATTTATATTTGAATAATTAAGAGGTTCTTTCAAAAAATTATCTAACTTAATTTATTTTAAAAAGAAAAAAAATTAGAATATGAAAAAATAAATAACAAATAATTGATATTATATGTGCGGATATATAGGTAATTTCTAATAAAACTAATGATATATATTTATTGAAGTCAATAGATTAAACTAAAAACTACAACAAAACTTATTGTGATAAATTTCGAATAAATATATATAAAAAAGCAAATAAAACTTATGATTTTTTTTAATCGACTATTAATTTTTTTAAAAAAAAATCGAGTCAAACTATATAAAACATACTCTTAGCTCTCTCTCTCTCTCTCTCTCTCTCTCTCTCTCTCTCTCTCTCTATATATATATATATATATATATATATATATATATATATATAATCGAATTTATAAATTATAATAATATATTTTTAAAAATAAAACATCTGAAGTTCTAAAATTTTATTCCAAAATTCATATATTAAAAAAAAAATTTATTAAAATATAAAATTAGATCAAAAATTAATTTGATGAGAATTTTAATAAGAACAAATAATTGAAGAAATAAATTTTAAACAATAAAAGTAATATAATCAAATATATATATATATATATATATATATATGTGTGTGTGTGTGTGTGTGTGTGTGTGTGTGTGTGTGTGTGTGTGTGTGAAGAAAAAAAAAAGGTGGCCGGACACGAGCTACTAGGACAGGCCGCTCACTTGGGCTCGCGAGTGCCGGCCGGGGCATCGAGTAGCAAGGTCGTTCAACCTAGGGAAAAAAAAAGAAGAAAAAATTGCTACGACAAATAAAAAGTAACGAGTCCCGGATCTTTTAGTTTTCTTAGTAATTTATAATTTTATAACATCTCAAAAGAATTATTATATTTTTTTAAAAAAATTAAATGTATGGTATTATCTAAATATCATGTTTTTTTCTCATATAAATGATTTAAATAGGTAGTAACTAAGAAAATAGGTAATCCATATACTTGGGTTGTAGGATGAATAATTTATTATCGATCAAAACTCGCTTTTATGATAAATATTTAAAAGGGTAACTTCATATTTTTTTTAAGGGTATAATTGAATAATCAACCAAAATGGAGACTAAATTAAATTTTTGGGGCCTTGGTCCCTCCTCGCTATAGTAGCCCACCTCTTTTATATAGGCTTAGCCCTTAGATATAGAGTAAATTATAAATTAGACCCTTTATGTAAAAAAAAAAATTAATTAGTCTCTCTTATTTCAAAAACTATTATTTTGTCCTTTGATTGATAAAGTAATAGGAATGATTTGACTGAAATCACACCTTTTATTGACACTTTTGACGGTATATATATACATGCATCGTAGGAGATGATCTCTCCTATAATCAAGGTTATTCAGGATTCAAAATCTTCTATACATAGAAGTTTATATAGAGAAGGAAACTCATACTATACAATCTCCTATAATTATGTTTTAATATTAACACATATTTTTTAATTGTACAATCTCTTGTAATTGTGGCTTGATATTAATGCATATCTCTAACATCCCCCTCAAGATGAAGCTCTTTTGGAAAAGTCCAATCTTGTCATGAAGAGA